CATCATGTACTGACTCTGGCCCAGGGATTACTGTTTTTGTATGACTAGTCTTTTGTACAATGTGTGGCATTAAATCTTCTGTTATAGGTGAAGAAAAAATGACAATCAATGAGGTTACATAACCTGCCCAAGACTATACAGCTTGTGAAATGATGGACTAACCTACCAACTGTCACTTTATTATTTCCATTCTCTCATATTTATATGCACCAGAAATTTAAATCTTGTTAGCTCTAAATGGCATATCAAGAATGTGAACTGTACACAGTCAGTAACTTCCTTTCAAGGTTAATGGCATAGTCTAAAATAGGGAAGTCAGTAATCTGTGATCTCAAATGGCAAAACCCTGTGCACTAATGGTCCCAGTTCCTCTGCCCCAGTGAGAGGCAGAATTCCCAGGCACACCTCTGACTTCTTTCTGGTAGCAATGAACAATCAGGGACCTGTCTGGGCTTCATATAGGAGGAAGAACAAAGTGTCACCTGTTCTCCAGAACTTTCTTTCCAACTGGCTCTGACTTCCTGGACTCTGGGCTTTGGTTACCTAGAATGATGGCCGGTGCCAACTGTGCTTGGCCTTACCTGATTTCCCTGGACTCCAGCCTAAAGTACAACAGCCTTTGCCCCTCCCAGGGCCTTTGTCTACCGCCCATGGTCTTCCTGGGGCTCTTGAAGTATGGTATCTGCCGGAACCTACCTGGCTAGTTTAGAGTCCTCTGCATGTTTTCCTGGCTTGCATAACCTCAAAACTGCCTAAGCAATAAACTGCAGAAAATCTTAGGAGTTTTTAAAATAATTGGAAAATGAATTAGATCTTATTCTAAACTTTCTTTTCTGTCACTATAGCGTAATACTATAATGGGTCTACCTCTGTTCAGATAGGCCAGAGTGATGAATCCTCAATAATATAATGAGTTTTGGGTGGCGATACTCTTTTATCTGCAGGTTTCTGATATTTGTAAAATGACTGTAGAATGTGTATAGGGGGGCTGGGAGGGGTAAGTATGTGATGTATCTGGGGAAGGGTGTGTATTGGGTCTACTTTGGTCTGTTTTCCTAAGGTGTTGTAAATGTAAGTTTGAAATGATATAAAATGGTCTTATGAAAAATGAAACAAAATCTAAATTGTAAGTACTTATAAAAACCAAACAACCCCACATTGGATATTGTTCCAACCATTAGCAAGAAGAATCTCTACGTAGTATAACAGTGATTACTATGGTTTAGAGAGAGCAGTTAAAAAATTGCCATGTGTTTTTAATGTTTTTAAGGAATTGTTTTACCTGTCATGGACAGAGACAAAGAGGGAGAGAGAAAATGTTAACTAGTTTTCCCTAATAAGAACTTGAAATAAAGTTCCTTATACTCTTACTGTAAAATGATGTGCATTCAAAAAGATTTGTTTGTAAATGTAAACTGTATGAAAATCCTTTCAAAGGCCTCTTGAGAAAGATCAAGTGTTTTCTAGAGCCTAACCTGTGAAACTAAACAACAGGCAGATAAAATCTGGGAAGCTGTTCAACCGAACTAATTTGTTTTGAATATCAGATATTAAATATTTGATTAAAACTGTGCTTACCATGACCTAGTTCAGAATAGTAGAAAATATTAATTCCCAAATGTCTCAGACACTAAAGGGACTTGCAAGTTTAAACTAGATTGGTTTCTGTAGAAAAAAGCTATTTTTAGAATATATCAGAGCTGAAACTACTGGCATCTGGAAATTCTGTGAGTTAGCATGAAGGTGGTATGGCTTGTAAAATAAGTGGGGCACTGGGAACGAGAGTTACATTTGACGCCTGGTTCTAGCTTTGCCAATAACTAGTTTGGTGAGCTGGGGTGGGTCATTTGACCTACTTTGGCCTTACATTTTTTTTTTTTCAGCATAAATGAGGGCCTGGGCTCTGATCTCTAACGTCCATTAAAGTTCTGAAATCCTATAATATCTCTAGAACTTTCTTTCAAACTACACATTGCTTTTTAAATTTATGTCTGGGCCTATCCTGAAAGTATTACTGGACCTTATCCAATCATAGCTTTGACAAACAATACAGCCACAGAAAAGCTACTTACGTCACTTGATTTTATTTTTTCAAACTCACACAATACCTGGCAAATAAAGAAAGGTTCCTGAATTGTGATTGGCATAATCCATGGTCAGCTGCAGAGAGAATTTAAGCAAACTTTGTATATTGTCAGGGTGCAGACTGTAGATGAGGGCTGACCTGCCATTACCTGCGTTTGCGAACCTAACCAGCTCTGTAGCTGCGGGTTGTGGGACAGAAGCCCAAAGCCCACTGTGTAACCGTCTCTTGATGCATATATCCAGCTTTGCTATGCTAGCACAGTTTTCACCCTCTCCCACTCACTGGCTTTTCCACCAAAAGGCACATGTACACAGCACCTTTTTTTTTTTAGCCCTCCCACTCCTAGATCTTCTACTGGATTTACCACCATAGCCCGTTCTTTATACTTGGCGTTTTCTCGTTTCAGTGACATCACCTGACCTTCTCCCGGGACTCCTACTCTTCTCTCCCTACCTCAAACTTTGTTGTTATGCAAACTGTATTCCTAGACCCTTTGCTCTTCCATATTGGATCTCATTCCTTTAGAGTTTTCTTGATGAATTATCACTACTATCCAAAATTAACATCTTTAGTTTTGATCACTTTTGTACAGTTTAAAGCTAACTGCCCACTTAGCAATATTCTCATCCCTTCCCTCATTCACCAGAGCACATACTATGAAAGGGCTATTTTAGGGCCACTAGAGATTTGAAGGACTGTTTTTAAAATATGTCATTTCCCGGGCTTGTGTAGCTCAGTGGATTGAGCATGGGCCTGTGAATCAAATGGTCTCTGGTTCGATTCCCAGTCAGGGCACATGCCTGGGTTGCAGACCAGGTCCCCAGTAGGGAATATGTGAGAAGCAACCACATATTGATGTTTCTCTATCTCTCTCCTTTCCTTTCCCTCTCTCTAAAAATAAATAAATAAAATATTTTAAAAAATAAAATAAAAAGTCATTTCTACAAAAAAGTATGTGATGCATCTCAATACTTGCTGGATTTAACAAGCACTCAATTTTTCATAGAACTAAATAAATTAAAGATGTCTTATTTTTTAAAAGTTAATGACTCTTTTTTATGATTTAGAAATTAGGAGAAACTGAACTCAGGAATAAGGCTTTTGGGTCTTTAGAATATGCTAATTTTCAACTCAAGCAGGCTTGCTCTGGTACATAAAATATAATATGCAGACGTACAGTCATTACACGAAACACATCTGTAGTCAAATGAGTCCTCCACCTCTGCTTCTCTCGTCCAGCACGCTGACCACGTTTGGGCCTGCTGCCCAAATCAGCCCTCCCCGGCTCTGTTTATGTCATCCTCGCTCTGGTCACCCAGACTTAAAATAGAGAAACCTCTGGCTTTCCCTTTCTCTCTTCCTCCGGTTGCCTGTATGCTGTCAGACATTGCTTCACAGGATTTTCAGGAGTACCCCTCTGCATTCTCTCTGCCCCTCCCCGAGTGAGAACACTGCACCTGCAAAACGGCAACAGTCTGCTCTGCGCAGTTCTGATTCCCTAACTCCCTTCCAAATGCCCCCTGCCACCTGCCAGCTGAGTCTTTGTGAAGCACTTCCACCAAACTTATGTATCATCAGCAGCTCTCCAATGACTACAGAATGAGGTCTAACCGTCTACATTCAAGATTCACCCCAACTATCTGATCTCTTCAAGAAAAGTTAGATTACTATGTTTTGAAAAAGAAGAGGAATTGTTTACAGTTGAGGATTTTAATGGAAGGGGAGTTTTGAGTCTTAGCGCAGTTTGTTTAATCTCCTATCTGCAGGTCTGTTGGGAGAGAATCTTTCTCTGCAAACAGAAATATTGTAAGAATCAACAACAACTTTGGAAATTGAATTTTTAGAACAAATACATTGACAAAAGGAATAAGAAGGGCAGAGAGCAGAGAGGTTTGGCTTTCTGGCTGAGGGATCTTAGAGGCTTCCTAGATAGACTAGGGTGTTTGGAAGTCTAAGGAGGTAATATCTTAAATGAGAGCATTTAGTATCAAGGTCAGACTAGAAGTGAAGCAAGAATTTGATGTACTTATGTATTAAGGCCTACAAGAAATTCTTATGGGTTAAACTGAAAAACTATAATTATCCTATTTGATATTGCTCCTTTAATTGGAATAAAATGCACATTGTTTAAAAGATTTTATTTATTTATTTTTAGGGAGGGAAGGGACGGGGGGAGAGAGAGAGAGAGAGAGAGAGAAACATCAATGTGCGGTTGCTGGGGGTTATGGCCTGCAACCCAGGAATGTACCCTGGCTGGGAATCGAACCTGGGACACTTTGGTTCCCAGCCCGCGCTCAACCCACTGAGCTACGCCAGCCAGGGCTAAAATGCACATTTTTTAAGAAGGAATTATCCACTGAACAACCAGTGGGTCAAAGAAGAAATCAAAAGAGAAATAAAAATACCTTAAGACAAATGAAGATGGAATACACTAAAGTTTATGGGATATTTCAGTTCTAAGAGGGAGGTTCATAGCCATTAATACAATCCAATTAGAACCTATACAAAAAGGTTTAAATTACTCTAAATAGAAAGCAAAAGGACTGCCTCATGAGACTTTTTCAAAGCTGAAAATACATGAAAATGATTATCCTCAAATACAATATAATTCTCATGTTATGTAGTAGAATTGGCAACACAATCCAACTATTTGAACCACACTCTAGAAGTTATAAAAGAAAGCAAAATGCAGTGTAGAACTTATGAGTACTCTGGAATCAGGTTGCCCAGGTTCAAATCCCTGTTATGCCCTTTTTAGCTGGCTCTCTGCAGGCAAGTTACTTATCTTTTTATGTTTCCTTCCCTGTAAAATAGGAATAATAACACTACCTACCTCACGGGGTTGGGCTGAGGAATAAATGAGATATTGCATGTAAAATGCTTAAAAGTAAACAGCAGTGTATCTATTTTACAGATGATGAAGCCAAGACACAGATTGGGACTTTAGAACTAAAGTAACATTGCTACTAAGCCCTGCAACCTTGGACAACTCCAAATCCTCACTCTTTCTCCACACTACCTCCTTGATTTGTACTGCTGGAGATATGATCATGGATACAACACTGGCCCTGTCTTCAAGATCAACACATTGAAAAGGTACAAAAACAAGAAATAAGTGGGCAATTCCTCATAGGCACTGGTAAAGGACACTTACCCCAGGCTGGAAGGGTTATAGCCAAACGAGGTATTGAAGTGTGGTCAGGAATTAGATCGTGGGCTTGGGGTGGAGTGTCCCACTCAGAGAAAACAGAAGGCAAAGGAATGGAGCGGTTGCTTTGCTTGCAATGCTACAAGGCTTTGGGAGGACACAGAATATTTGGTATTTACAACAGATTAGCTCAGCTGGAAAGTGGATTTTGGAGTAGGGTGGGGGCCTCGGTGTAAGTGGAAGAAGCTGAAGCAGTTCTTCTCTACCAGCCATGAAAATACAAGTGTAGAAGAGGCAGCACAAGTGCTTGTACACAATGATGTATATTCACTGGCCCAAACAATCAGTACTCTTAGAAGTACAGGCTGGTACTAGTTTACTTGAAGGTGTAGGTCAAAATCCTTTTAAATATAATGTTTGGCCCAGGCCTGGGAGGTCAGTATCTCTCTAGGTGCTGTATATTTTTTAGGGAAAATAACCTCTTTAACAATTGAGAGAAATCTCCCCTACTTCCCTCTTCCAGGTATTCTTTCCTAAGGAAACTTATCTACATTAGAATTATACATATGAACTCCTTTGTTTCACATGAAAAAGCATCTTCCTGACCTCTTGTGGGAAAAATACTATATTTGGTGTTTTTAATATAGCCATTCTTATAGCAGTAGATAATGTATAGAACAGGTTACACTCAATGCCCTATATATAGATGGGTTTATGGAGAAGTGCTGGTTTAAGAGCCTCTTTCAACTCTACTCCTAATGATAGATTATCTCAAGATAATAGGGGGTTTCAATAGTCAGTGCAAGTTTATTATTAATTCATTTATTAAAAAGTAATTAAAATATAAGCTAATTAGTCACCCTAGGAAAGTTCAGCGCAGTACCTTCTTTACTCTGTAAGGCAATTTGGTCCACCTATTGCCTCCGTGAATGATGATAGAAAAGTTATTTGTGTGATGCAAGCATGTTGAGAAACCATCTATCTTAATCACCACCAATGACAGGGGAACTCCTTGTGGTTTAATCTTGTATTCAATTTAACCAATACTGTGTGACTAAGTGCCAGGGATATTGTGAGTTAAGCACCAGGGATATTATGAGTAAGGTATAGCTCTGCCCTTAAAGAACCCATTTTATATGTATAAAATATAAAATATCCACGGTGTAATGTAAGTCCTAATATATAAATATGCATCATATCTATATCACACTTGAGAACAGCGAGACAACGTCACCAGTAAACCTGGAGAAAAAGCAATGATAAGCAAGTCAGTGATTTTTTTTGGCTCTGGTAACTGGATGTGGGAGGGTTGAATCATTTTTATATAGGTCAGAAAAACATCTGATTAGCACTAACTTGTCTAGTGTTTGATGCTAATTCAAATGAGTGATAATGTTACTTGGAATTGTTATCTTTTAAAACACCCTGGTCTCCCTCATACGTGTCCTAAAATGCACATTGTGAAATATGCACCTGCTTCACTAGAAATGTTCCCTTAGATTATGTAATATATCATAAATATTTTTAAAGTCAAGCCTCTATCTAAAGTATGATAGTGTTCCTAAGAACACCACGTGAATATCGCAATTTAGGAGACTCTGAAAGCTACAAAACATATTTCTCTAAAACTATGAAGGAATATTTTTGTTGCCTTTGAGGCAGAAAAATTTTTATGTGAATCTGAGCTGTTTGTCACTGTAATCTGAGTTCTTTAATCTATTATGGATAATTTATTATAAATAAATCAGTTTTTAACTGAATAGTGTTTACATTAAAATAATTTAAAGGACTGTTTTTTGTCCAGCCTGGGTCAGAGCATACAGTCCCCAATTTACATAGAGAATTTCAGGTTTAGTATTTTTTACTTTTCCACGTGAAGGTGCCATCAGCTTCCATTGTCAACAATGCTGTACTGTCACTTTTTTAACTTATTTCTTTTTTTCCTAACTTTTTCATCTCCAATAATCATATGGCAGTGACATTGATTTTATAGTAAATTAATGGCATTATTAGACATGGAAAATTTTATATTTCATTGAAAAAATAGTACATTCCTCTTTTTTTAAGTGTAGGAGAGAAAAGAAATAGTGGTGGTTCCAAGCATGTTAAAATATACCAGGTTAGTTTCCTGTAAATTTTCTGTTTATAATAGAATTAATTGTAATAGATATTTCCAAATATCTCCAACTATTAGAAACATGACATAACTTTCATTGATTAAAATATTAGAAGTAGTATCCTGTATGTTTGAAGGCAGACAATACCCATTTTACGTATGAATATTTGAACATTTCATATTTTTAATCATACTGCCTTTTACTAATACATGAAAGTGTTTCTAGTTTTTTTTTTATAGCTTTACTGAGATATAACTGACATAGGTGTATAAGTTTAAGGTATATGACATGTTGATTTGATGCTCATATATTGCAAGTAATTGTCACCCATAGTTTAGCTCACACCTCTATCACATCACATAATTACCACTTTTTTGTCGTGAGAACATTTAAGATCTACTCAGCAACTTGTGAGTCTGTAATCCAGTACTATTAGCTATGATCACCATGCTGGACATCAGATCCCCAGAACCCACTTATCTTTAACTGGATGTTTATGCCCTTTAACCAATATTCTAGTTTTTTTTAACTTTTTTATTGGAATAAGCATTTAAAAAAATTATTGAATTTATTGGGGTAACATTAATAAATTATATAGGTTTCAAGTGTACACTTCTATAACACATCATCTGCATATTTTATTGTGTTTACCACCTAAAGTCAAGTCTCCTTCCAGCATCATTTATCCCCCCTTTACCCTCTTCTATGTCCCCCACCCACTTTCCCTCTGGCAATCACTGTGGTGTTGGTCTATGAGTTTTTTAATCCCTTCACCTTTTTTATTCAGTCACCTAAACCCCCTTCCCTCTGAACCAGAAGGACACATGAAGATATGGAGGCTAAGTAACGTGTTATTAAACAATGAGGGGGTCAACAATGAGATCAAGGAAGAAATCAAAAGTTACTTCCTGTTTTTAAAGCGATTTCCCATGAGTTCTTTTTATCTTCACAATTTTCAATATGTCATATACTATATTACATATAATTATATATAATATATAACTGTAGAGAGTAGGAAGTGTGGTTCAATTATATTTGTTAAACAGAGAAAATGTAAAAAGTTTATATGTTCTACAACAATGGTCAACAAACTACAGCCCAGAGGCCAAATTTGACCAACCATTTGTTTTTTAAAATGAAATTTTATTGAACAACAGCCCTGCTCATTCATTTACATATTGCATATGGCTGCTTTTGGGCTGCTGTAGTAGAGCTGAGTTGGCATGCAGTGCCATTCTTATCAATATTTCAGCGTGGCTTGCTTTAGCTAGCTCTTAATTGAAACAATTACAAAATAATTTGTACAACTTTAAAATATGCACAAAAGCTGTTTTAACCTTACTTTTAGACTTCATTTCCTATTAAGGACTTTTATACTTGAGCCCAAATATCTGGCTTTTTTTAAAAAAAAACATTCTTTTCAGCAAGATGTGCTATAATTCTACAATATGTAATGTAAAACTGTGCCAATGATAACATATTCTCACCACTCAAACATTCAAATGAACTACATATAGGTTTTATGAAAGGCATACATAACTTCTAATTATTGCATGCCCCTTATTTTCCTACTCTGAAGATGTTTAACTTTAGAGAAATTGGAAAAACCAGACTGCCCTTTATTATTGCTAGAAATTTGAGGATAGTTTAATTGGGAGCATAAAATAAAGAACTATTGTAGATAAATGAAACACAAATGTATATTAAAGTTAGAAATTATTTTTTAAAAATGAAACTACAACCTTATAACTGTAGAATGCTTTACTTCTGGTTTTTATTTTGCTCTGTTTGCACTGTTGAAAATAATAGGATCTTTTCCTTAAAGACCACAAAACTCAACCTCTTTCTAAATAGATATATATGCAGTAATGTTCAAGTGCCTTTTTGTCTGCCCTATATACTTCTTGTGGGCCTTATTAATAGCAATTACATTTCATTGCTTGTGAGTGGCATCAATTCCAAAAATTTATTCTATACATATATGTCTTCTGAGCATTGACTTTATTTACTCATTTTTCTTGTAACTTACAGCTTAATTAAACCGCAAAACAACATTGACCTACTAAATTTAAGGCAAGAATAAAATTTGAAAGAAATTCTTATTTGACATTCTCCATTAGTTTGGTGCTAGATACTCCTCCCTTAAGGATTGATCAATTGGAACAAAGTTGAATAGGCCAAGATAAAAAATATTATTCTATTTGTCCAGTTTTTAGTACTGCTTATACCTGAGTGGTTTTGATAGCTTTCTAACTGGTTCCCTTTAAGAAGAAACATAATCTCATAATAGAAATAAAAGCTCAATTGCTAAGTACTCCATAAATGTTAATTTCCTTTCTTTCTTATCTTACCTTTTTACCTCCCTCTCTCCCTTAGGCTTTCCCAACTCAAAATCACTCTTCTCATCCTTGCCAGATTTTTTTTTTTAAATAACAGTGCTTTTAAAGCTGGTTGTGTGGGTTCTGCAGGAGGCGGGAGGGTAAACATGACCAGGACTCTCTCACTGCTTCTCCAGGCAAAAAAGTTCCCCTTTGGTTCATTTCAGACCTCATTCATTTTGTAACACTTTTTAAAAAGTGATATTTTTAAAACACTTGCCCGTACCATTAAAATGATAATTGCCTTATAATGCAGTTCCTCATATGGTACTCATTAGTTTTCAGGTTTCTGGGTATCAGAAATGAAATCTTAGTACTCAATTCTATCTGGGTCATGTAAATCTCCCTGTATAAAAAGCACAATACAACTATTTATTGACTGAATAATAATGTGCATGTATTGAATGATTCCTAAGTTAAGTACCTTTAGAAACTTACATAGTTTGTTAGTAAGAAGGACACTATGATAAAATTAATTTTTAGTAAGTTGTATAAATATATTACTGTACTGGCAAATTTTTATTTACTAGAAATAACTTTAACAATAAGTATTTCTAAAATTATATATGTGTACAGATGTATATGTACACATACATATACATAGATACATTTGATCTTTTGTTGAGATTTTCATACTATAAATATTTTTAAATGAAAAAAATTTGGTAAAAAGATTGTAGTATCAAAAGTTACCTTGATCAAGCCAAACTGACAGCCAAGGTAATCTTGTCTGAGTAGCTGAGTCAAGTTTATCTGATGAGAAAGCCAGGAATTTAAAAAAAAATTACAGACATTGGCAGTTATATTTAAGTATTCTACAGTTAAAAGCAGCACCAGTTTATTTAACAGGTTGCTCACAATCAAGTGGAACTTACTATTTTGGTATTTTGCCTAACTATTTTTTCCCCTTTACAAATGAATCAGTGCCCCATAAAAATAGTTTTTAAATATAACCAAAATGCAATATCCTAATCATACTAATATATTTTATTAACTGGAATGATAATATTCTTTAATGGTATTTGTCTGATACTAAGTTTGTGTATTTTTTCACACTTTCTGTTACATGAACACTAGCCAAAGCAAATATCTGAATGATATTTATACCAGATTGTTTCTATGCAGGAACACAATGTTACACTGTTTGCTTCCTTGAAAGACTACAGAAGATTACAAGCTGTGAATGTTGAATACAAACTTTAGTTTCTTTTTTTGAAATGCTACCTCAAAGTAGCATTTTAAAAACTGAAATTTACTATTAATAAAAGGTACTCACAAACCAGAATCTAAACAAACCAAAAAAATTGCTCAGGCTTTCAATTAACCCTCAAGACTAATTTTTATCAAACATTAACTGATCTATTTTCTAAAAAATCATCTAAAAATATTGGTCTAATAAAATAATAGATCATCAAAATAGTTTAGGTATGAATTTTTTTTTCATTTCATTTCAGTGCTGCTTGCATTATGTCTTTGTAGTTTACATGAATGTTCTCTGAATATCAAGTTCATTGATTTTAGGGTGGAGGAAAGAGACTTTTGAGTCCCTTGTCACAGAGAAGACAGAGCCACGGCCAGGGTTTCTGACCGTTCTATAAAGTGCCTTCAGAGTTCCTCCGAGGAGCCACAGGAGTTACTGCTGGGGCTCTGGGCCGGCCAAGCAGGTAGGACCACTCACTTTCCCTCACTTACTGCACTTTGTTGCTCCCCTTGCATCTCTTTTACATATTTGAAATTCTGGGTAAGAATGAGCTTAGGGAAAGAAAATAATTCTGTTCCTAAAAAACAAATTTGAAAACCACTGTATTGCCTCATGTACCACGGGGAGAAAAGAACTATGTGGACACAAATCTGAAACAATGTCATCATTAGTAACTTTTGTGGAACTGCCTAGACATTGCGTGCCAAAATAAGGGAAACAGGATTCTGAATGTAGTTTTTATATATGTGTGTATATATATATATAAAATATATACATAGTACATATGTACACGTGTGCATGTATATGTACACACACATGCATGTATATATGTATGCATACACACGTGTGTATATACATACAAGTAAAACTTTGTTCGGGTTTTTCTTTTTTCTTGTACCTTGGTTGTTTACTTAGGTTTTTATAAATTCAAATTGTACAAAAAAGAACAATGATTAAATGACATTTAGTAGAGAAACTTCCAATGTGTTTCAGAATACAGGGACAGGTAGAACACATAAAAAAGCATAAGGATAAACTAGTTAACCAAAATCACAACAATGGAATCCTAAATGGACACACTGAAAGTAAGAGCTCCATATGGACGAAAAGGCTCAGGAAGAGCCTTCTGGAAAAGAAGTGCTGGAGTAAGAACAGAAGATAAAGGAGGCGGCATTCCTAGCGGAGAGAACAACAGAGATTGGGGGTAGAAGCATGTTTTTCAGAAAGAAAGTAGATTCAAATGAAGTGGGGTATTCTGTGAGTGGGATACAAGCTTGAATTGGTAAAATGGAGTTATATTTAAGAAGCACTTTGAAAGCAATAGAAGATGTTGAATTTAAAGTACTCTTAAGGGCAATATGGTACTAACTCTGGTACTCAACAAAAGTAGTGCTTATTGCTAGTCGACTGGCAATACAAGTTCTGTCCAAGAAAAGTCCAACCATTATTAATATAACAAGAACAGTGTGCATGGCATCTATGTAACCTGGCAGCCAAGGAGAGTGGACTGCAATGCACATGCATGAACAATGACGATTTCACTGTGCTGGTCAGTGGGGGTGGTAGACACTGTTGAGTGAGCATGTGTACTGTGTGGCTCATTCAAAATGTGTACTCATTCAAGATGATTGAGCACGTAGATCAATGAATCTGCACCACATTTTGCATTGAGCTTGAATATTCCTCCGTGGAAACTATTGGGAAGATTCAGAAGGCCACAGCTATGGGCAACTGGTGATTGGCAGCTTCACCACGACAGCGCACCCACTCATGCATCACATCGTGTGCAGAGTTTTTTTGGCAAAACATCAAATTAGCCAGGTGACTCAACCTCCTATACAACCCAGATTTGCTGCCCTGCAACTTCTGGCTTTTCCCAAAACTAAAATCACCTTTGAAAAAGAAGAGATTTCAGGAAATCTGGATGAGGTTCAGGAAAATACAACTGGGCAGCTGGTGGAAATTGGGAAAACTGTGTGAGGTTCCAAGGTGCCTACTTTGAAGGGGACTAAGGCATCATTGTCCTGTGTACAATGTTTCTTGTATCTTGTATCTTCAATAAATGTCTTTATTTTTCATATTACATGGATGGATACTTTCTGGACAGACCTTCATATATTCTGAATATTCAAGGGACTGTTCTTTTATTGTATTAAATAACTGGTAGAAAAAATTTAGTTGATATTTTAAAAAATGCTAGATTGCTTTCACAGATTTAAAAATCACATATATAATAGTAGGCATATATGAACATTCTATATTGCTCTTACTATTGAGTTGGAAAAAAGCTTAGGAAGGGTACACCATGACCTACTCCATTACACTGCAGTCAGATTTATATAATATATATAATTTAATTTTTATCACTCCTTTTTAAAGAATTTGGAAACCAATTAATTTTTTGCTTAATGTGTTATTTATTTGAGTAACAATATTTGAAACAAAATAGTCTAGCAAGGTAGTATCAAAATATTATCTGGATACATTAGAAAAATAATGGCTATTGCTAGATAATTAAAATCAAGGAAAGACTTTCCTTAGGAAGATTTGACATAAATGAATTAAATGAATTAAAAATGTTATTTTTTCCATTGATAGCTTTTATTTCTGTTTCTTCACTATGCAAGATGTGAAAGCAAATTTTACCTAGTACAAATAAATAAGAAACATAAAGAAGGAATCAGTCAACTGGAAATAACCTTCCAGGGTCAATTCAGTGAATGAATTGAAAGAGTTTATTAGAAAGTTTATTATAAAGTTAATTTTAAGGGCAGAAAAAATAAACCATCATTTTTTAAAGTGACACATTCTATCGTATAGATCTCACATCAAAATTATTCAGAAAAATATTTTTTAACCTAACTAAATATATTTCTTCATTCTTCAGTGTTAAATGTTTCCTCCTCTCCTTTTTCTCTGCCAAAGTTCATTGTGAAAGTCACTTGGTTTTGCTGGATCAATACTATGAAACACTTGTTCAGGGGTATGCATAGGAAGTCTGTCAGGAAGTATGTTTAAATGGAATAGTAGTAAGTGGGCAGTATTCTAAAATGTACACTTACATAACTGCAGTGTTTTGTTTTTCTTAGAATGCGAGCTTGGGAAAAGAAGAGCTGAAGTACATTTAAATAAGGCCGTGTTAAGAAAGGCAGGGGAGAAGAGTGATGAGATGGCTCATTTCAAATCAGAGCATGATTTTGAAGAGTATGAACTTGCCAGTTAACAATGCCCATTATAAACTGCTTTTTGGTAGTTCCCCTCCATTTACCAGTCCTGGAAATCTTTAGTAAAAAGGGTTTCACCTGCTTTAGCATTGTGTGGCTGGATCTGTCTAGAATATATACATGGGGAAAAGAGCAGAGGCTTCTTTTTAAAAATCAAGTTAAATAAAAATAAATTTATTGACCTTAGGTAGAGAGGAAGGGAGAGAGAGAGAGATGTGAGAAACATTAACTGTTTGCCTCCCATACCCACCCCAACCAGGGATGGAATCTGCAACCTCAGTCTCTGCACTTGTGTACTGATTGTAATCTAACCAAACTTTTGGTGCATGGGGATGACATTCCAACCAAGCCACACCAGCCAGGGTGAGCAGAAGCTTCTTGATCTAATAACTTCTGGATCACTCATAAGCATAAATGTGCACACATCCGCAGACATGTGCATGCCTTGCACAACTGTACACACATGCACACAAATGTGTATCACCATGTAAAAAGTTTCCCACCTGTCAACTGAAGCCATTTCCACATTGTCCAGGAGAGGTCAGTTCATGAAAAACTTACTCTGCTCTTGAAACACTGTGGCTATACTCAATGGTAGAAAACAGAACTTAAGGACGTAAGAAAACAGAACTTAAGGACGTACAAACTGATTTGGCCTTCTGAGAAGCCTTTGGAAATCGGTGGAAAATGCCAACTTTTGGTGCTTCCAGGGCCTAAGAATATAATCATTTAGAAATTTTCCATTGTTTATCTTGTTTTATTTTGACTGAGTTTACTTTGTACTGTTAGGATATTAAGAAGCAAAGCTATATACTTATATGGATAAAGGACTTCATGCTTATTTGTAACTTATAACTTCTAAAATGCTTATTTATAACTCAAGAAACACAATATTGTATTTGTTAAACTGCTACTTTCATGATGGTGGTATTCTGAATATAACTGTTAACTCTTAAAATGAGCGACCACAGTCAACAGAAACCTTTTGTTAGAAAATCGGTTTTAATATCAGATTATCTCTGTTGTACGGCCTTAGTGTTGGGAGCTTTACCAAGTAAGAAAACATCTGCCCATATTTACAGCACATTTTTGTTTGCTCTGTATTAATTGGTATATTCTGAGCTGGAATAGACATTAGAGATTATCCAATACAGTTAACTATGCAGAAGAAGACATTACATGTAATGTATTCACAAAAATAATTTTTATGGAGTGCCACACCAAGATCTAAACTTTGAATTCCAAAAACATAGATGTAATTCATACTGAAGAACTTTCACAAAGAGACCTGGGAGGATACTAATTAGAATTTTTAAGTTGGTACTTAGGGGTGAATAAAATGTATTGTTGACTTGCTCAGTGTGAGAGGTGATAAAGCTGCACTAGTTAGCATGATTTTGGCTCTAACGGAAAATGCAACATGAATGGGTGTAACAGTAAGGAAGACTTACCCAGTACTGAAATGTTGAGTTAGGGTGTTCTCTGAGTAAGTAAGCTAATTTGGCAGCTTGGTTACTTCATCAATGACTTAGGATCTATCCAGCTTTCCATTTTGTGATCCTGAGTATCAGGCTTGTCTGATTAAGTGTAGGACATCTAATTAAATATGAATATTAGTTAAACATTATATGCAATATTACCCATTATCTGAAATTTCAGATTTAACTGGGTCTCTGCACTATTATTTCCTAAGTCTGAGAAATGTACCAGTATCTTGGTTTTCCTTTGTAGGCTAGCTCCACTTACGGTCACGAGATAGCTGCCATATCTTTTGGTATTAGGTCTAGATGCCAATATCCAGTGGTATCAAAGGATTCTGTTGGTGGGGAAGAAGGTAAAGGAGTGGTGGTTTGGTAGGTAATCTACAAAGTAAGTCACCAAGGCAAATCTAAATTTTTGTTGACTAAAACATAATTTTCTTTAATATTTGCTAGTTAGTTCTATAACAGTGTGTAATTTATCCTATCTTCAGATCCAAGAATAACATTATTTTTTCTGGTGAAAAAAGGTTTTTTTTTTCCCCCGAGGCTCTTCGCTTAGTTAGAACTATGAAAGTCCTTATCACTGAAATAATTAAGATAATTTTTACTGAGTATTCTGACCTGGGGGAAGAAGGTGGCTCACATTCCCCTTTTCCACATCATTCCTAGGACGAGAATCAGAGGTTCTCCATGTTTGCGGCTGTTGAGTTTTTCTTCCTCTTTCTTGTTAGTTCACATCACTCATGACT